TCTTCGTTCACTAACCTAACTGAATTTGATTTTGCTTCACAGGTAAACATAACGTTTCCAGTTTTTTTTTTTCAGTACGCCCGTTATTTTGGACAGCAGAAGACCAGCTGACGGTTATCATCTCCGCTTATCGCACTATTTTATCGTTTGTTACGCTGTGATAGTGTGAAACAAGCTTCTAAAATCGATCATCACCCGAGCAGTCACAGAACCTGGATATTACAGCACTTAGTAAGTACAAGCTGGTGATTACGTTAAAACAATTTTTACAAAGTCGGTTAAATCGTGTCTTCAAAAAATTCAATGAAACATAGTTTTATCGATCCAGATAAGTTAAAAGGTATTTCAGGGGTAAATTTATTGAACTAGACAGAGCAATAATGATAATGATAAACGATACTTTTGTATCATCAGGAATGAAAACTAAAAACGACAGCGGAAGTAACGTGACGCTGGTAACACGTAATGAGTTCTAGAAAGATTGGGGAACATCACGAATAATCCAGTATTTGCTAGGCGCCCTCTTTTCTTGTATATAAGTGCGCCAGACAATGAATCGAGATAGAATTGCAGACAGACAGAGATGGACAATTGAGTCAAGCGCGGTAGTAAGTAAGTGCGTGAATCGTTCCCTGTGAATTATAACGTGTTTTTATAAAATTAGTTAAGTTAAATTGACTGTGGAAATTAAGTGTATTGCAAAGTTGAATTGAGAAAGAATAAACTAGTTTTATTTAAGAAAGGACTTGTGTCGCTAAAGTTTCATCGAAAAGAAATTATACGGGAAATTAACTAACGACCAGAGACGTAACACTATCTTGGAAAACAAGCAATGGATCAGATCATGGAAAAAAACATCTCACCAACAAGAACAAAATAAATATTGCATCTCACCAACAAGAACGAAATATATATCGCTAAATAAAGCATCTCACCAACAAGAACAAAATAAATAACGCTAAATAACACATCAGGTAATGGGGAGAAATCTCACGAACAAGAACAAAATACAAATAGCTAAATAATGCACTAGGTCATGGGGGGAAATCTCACCAATAAGAACAAAATAAATAACGTTAAATAACACATCAGGTAATGGGGAGAAATCTCACGAACAAGAACAAAATACAAATAGCTAAATGGGGGGAAATCTCACCAATAAGAACAAAATAAAAATGACTAAATAATGCACTAGGTCATTGGAAGAAATCTCACCAACAAGAACGAAATATATATCGCTAAATAATGCATCTCACCAACAAAAACAAAATATATAACGCTAAATAATGCATCAGATAATGGGGGAAAATCTCACGAACAAGAACAAAATAAAAATGGCTAAATAATGCAGTAGGTCATGGGGGTAAATCTCACCAACAGAAAGGTGCCAGTACCATAGTGGGTGACTATGTAGAAAAGCATAGTGGATCGACATCTGACTGCCTTTTGTTTTTGTTTGTTTGTTTTGAATTTATGCACAAAGCTACACTATGGGCTATCTGTGCTCTGCCCACCACGGGTATCGAAACCCGGTTTTTAGCGTTGTAAGTCCACAGACATACCGCTGTGCCACTGGGGGGCGACTGCCCTTTACAAAATATGTTTTGACTACAGCTAATAATTTCCTTAAACGTATATATATATAAACCTTACTTTTTGAAATTTAAACCTCAAATTAATCTTGACATCTTTTTTTCCCTCCAGTAAACTTTCTTTTTTAAACCATTTTTCTTATATAAAAATATACTTATTTATTTATTTACATTTGTTTATTTTACATTCTGTGTTTACTTTTTACGTCAACATTGAAATGACTATCCCTATGATTTTATGCCTCCGTTCGTGTTGTCACAATAAAATGTCAACAATATTATCCTCGTGACCTCGTTCTGTACTCTCCGCTGGTTTATACGGAGTGTATAGTCTGTTACATATTGTGAGTCTGACAATGTAAGTAGTATTTGAAAAAAGTTGTAGGAAATAAATACAGCCTAATTCTGGAGTTTATGTCATTTTTCCTTCGTACAAGAAGATCTAGTGTTACGCAGGAAACACTTCAGCAAGATCAGAATGTTTGCATCTGTAGTTGTCGTCTGCTGTCTTCGTTTCTATAAAACGTTTTCAGCTTACATATCAAATCAGCTTCCCCAATTCCCTCTGCCTTTCCTGTCATGTATCACGCGCGTGTTATAAAGATCTAAACTAACCACCTCATTATAAACAACCAACAAATTTGCTTATTTTCTTTTTTTTTTATAGACAATCTTGTATGTTATAATGGCAGTCCACTGGAGGCTGCTACAACGACTAATGGTTTAGTACTGCCGTGAGGGGGTCATTTCCCCGCCTTTGAAAAACTGAGGGGACATGTCCCCGGTGTAAGTTACACCTACCTAGCACCCATTTAATTTTTATGTTAAAGGTATTCCACCGAATATTTCATGAAATAGTTGTTCACAAGAATTATCTGCGCAATGTCATCCCTAAATTGATAGACTAAAAGGAAGGCAAAACGAATAACATCCCTAAATTAAAAGGAAGGCAGAGCGAATAGCCATCCCTAAATTGATAGACTAAAAGGAAGACAGACGCGATACAGTCCCTAAATTAATAGATTAAAAGGAAGGCAGAGCGAATAACCATCCCTAAATTGATAGACTAAAAGAAAGGCTGACGCAATGCCGTCCCTAAAATTAATAGATTAAAAGGAAGGCAGCTAGTTAATAGCACTTAGCACCACCTCTTGGGCTACTTTGGTCTAACCAAACAGTGAGATTTGACTGTCGCTCTTATAACACATCCAAAGTTAAGAGCAAGATGAATCAAAATTATTTTTGAAATTTCCCATTCACAAACAATCCGATAAAAAATGTATTTTTTTTCTGTTCAACAAAATGCTTGCTAATATCCGTCATTTGTAGGCTAATGTGGGTTTGCGTTAAGTTTACAGACATAAAATGCTAAAATCCGGGTTTTGATTCCCGCGGTGGACAGTACAGATAACAGTCCATTGTGTAGCTTTGAGCTAAAAACCATTAATAAAAACTGTAATTTATACAGCCATTTTACAATTTTGTTAAGCCTAATGGCTCATGGTCGTTGCAACATAAAAGATACTTAAATTATTGATGGAAAAAGGTTTTAAGTCATCAAAAGCAACAACAAAGAGTGTTCGTATACGTATAACGTATATCCATAGTCCAATTTCATTTGAATAAGACGAAATCTTCCAAACTGCACAAATATTTAAGAATTATTTGTCACGTGACACAATAATTTATTTAACTTTTAGGCCTACATATGATAATCTATGTTACTTTTATCGAGTGAGGGTAAGAAAATATATGTTTTCATAAAATAAAAAAACAAAACAACTAGGCAGACATATTTACCTACCTGTGGCTCAGCGGCAAATCTGAGAGATTATAACGTCAAGATTGGGGGTTTGATTCATGCGATGAGTACAGCGCAGATAGCCTATTTTATAGTTTGTGTTTAAACAAAATAAACATATTTCGAAGGTGTTATGGTAATCACTAACGCGTCTGCCTTTCTTCATAAAACACCACGATAACACTTGACCTTTAGAGTTAAAATAACATGTTTGTTCAGTAAAATCCGATAATACTTGACCTTTAAAGTTAAAATAGAATGTTTGTTCGGTAAAATCCGATAACATTTGACCTTTATAGTTAAAACAGAATGTTCGGTAAAATCTAATAACACTTGACCTTTATAGTTAAAAAGAGTATGTTTGTTCGGTAAACATAAGATCACGCTTGACCTCTGAAGTTAATACAGAATGTTTGTTCGGTAAAATACGATAACACTTGACCTTTGAAATTAAAATAGAATGTCTGTTCAGTAAAATCCAATAGCACTGACCTTTATAGTTCCTATATATATATATATATATATTAATAGATAAAAATAGATAGGATTATATTTCCTGTAGACAATTATATTGAATATTGCTTTCTGTCTCAAATTAGTGCAAAAATCACTGATCAGCTGGAAGAATGTGATTAAGAACTGCTAATTTACGATTTTTTCTGCTTGCATTGTTTTGTTACCATCCTCAGAACCCACTCCTATAGTGTAAGCATAATGGATAGTGTTTTCCACAGGTGGAACACACATATCTAATTCATGGACAATAATTCTGTCATGCGTTAGTCTGTGTCTGGTAAGCCTTGAACCTCGTGACCCTTTTATTCACTCATGCACGTGCTGAGGAATCATCACTGTATATCTTTTTTTATTTGATAATGTTTGCGCACAGCATTTTCAGTGCATAACCAAGTGGCTAACGTACAGGGCTGCCGACCCAAAGGCCCAAGTTTCGAGCTCCATATGCCGCTGAACACGATTCACACTCTCAGCTGTGAAAACATAAAACACGTGATGCCACTAGCAGCTGAAGAATGCTTACTTTTGAACACAATTTACTAATACCGTTTTTTTGTACACCCGCCCTCATATTTTTGCCCTATGGACCCATTTTACCCAAAACTTAACGCGAAGGTTGAGGAACTATTTAACCAGGTCTAAATATTCTGATGGCCATCAAATAAAATTATGAGATATATATATAACACTTTAAATATAATTATACATTAACAACAAAAAAGCAACTTTTTGCGTGTATAAAATTGGTGCTGTATTTGTACAAAGAATTGTCCACTTTTCAAATAGTTGGAAACTTAAAAACCAGAAAACACATCATATTATTGTTATCATGTAACAATCTATATTAACCAATGGGTATAGATTAGCTTTTCCACCTGTAGGTTAAATATATATATATAGTTACGTAAACCTTTTTCATCAATAGTATAAGCTTTGACGTTGGTTTAACAGTTTTTACCTTTAAATTTATATGTGAGAACTCAATATTACCAACCAAACTTGACGAAATACCAATACTTATTGTATTTTATTCAGAATTTAGCCCCCCCTCCCCCTGCTAAGAAAGAACTCGACTTCATCAAGTAACTTACCAAAATTCTTCTGTTAAGCCTAAACATAACGCGATCTGTCATATATCCTTGCTCTCGAGCCTCTACTCTAATACATCCATTTCTCTCCTTCTCATCTAAACACGGATTCACGGAAAGCTTCGAGCGCCTACGTTTGGTTGTTGTCTTGTCAACGAAATCGATACTCTCGTTCCGGTGATTTTCCTAGGCAGTGGCAAACAGCCAGAATGCAATGATTCAACGAACGTCGAACTACAAGATTATTACGAGACATGCGCAATTCTTAACTTTAAAGACTTACAAAACTGAATCTATTGATTGTGATTTGAAAAGTTTGAACATCTGTTTTGGTATTTAAACAAACTTTGATATTTAAATGAACGAGCAAAATATCAAGATCAAATCTAAGTGTTCTAAAATCATTAATAAATTTTGAAACCAAGTAATTTTATAAAAAGGGACAGCGCTATTTTCCTAAATTAAAAAAGCTTAAGCCTAATTTTTTCTTTTTGAACATGACAGTCCCAATAAATTAAGTATACGTTTTTTTTATTTTTTGCAATTTTTAGTAATTATTAAACAGTCAAAAATTATACCTATATATCATGCTGTTGTTGTTACTGCAACAATACGCATTATATATGCTCTGTGTAAGCAGGAAATCAAACCACGGACGTTTACGTTGTAAGACCCTAAACTTACCGCTGACCCAGCTTGGGAACCTCATATTGTGCACATCTGACGACGGTAGATTGTCATGTGCTTGAAATATTATGGCAACTTGTATACAGACTGGGACTATACTATAGAGAATGAATTTGATTAACAAACTATCAACAGTTCTTACTAACGATATACATTTAGATCTGAGTTAGTATAATTAAAGCGTAGTTTAAAAAGTAAATATATAAATATATTATTAGAGTTAAAAATTAATCAAGGTTGTACAATAAATTATAATATTTACCAATCAAGACATATAACAATGTTTCGGCCTTCATCCACCCCAAAAAATCCCAAATTCCTGTCACCTAAGAAAATTCGTATTAGGCTTAGGTTGGTGTACAATGCAAAAAGGTGACACTATAAGTGCTGTTATTATTTTCATTAAAAAATATTTTTTATTGGATGAAAAAAAAAGGAATTTACAGATATAAAAACTGAGTGTTATGGTGCTGGAACATGGGTTTCTGAATCAGGAACAGTATTTTGAGGTATAACATAGTTTATGATGCAGGAACAAAAAGTTATGAAACCAGAACAGGTTGCTAAAATACACGAAAGTGGTTTAGAGCAGGAATAACATTATATAGAGCGATAACAAGGTTTGGTGAAACAGAAACAGAGCAATATGACACAGGAACAACATGATATAGAGCGATAACAAGGTTTGGTGAAACAGAAACAGAGCAATATGACACAGGAACAACATGATATAGAGCGATAACAAGGTTTGGTGAAACAGAAACAGAGCAATATGACACAGGAACAACATGATATAGAGTGATAACAAGGTTTAGTGAAACAACAACAGAGTAATATGACACAGGAACAACATGATATAGTGATAACAAGGTTTAGTGAAACAACAACAGAGTAATATGACACAGGAAAAACATGATACAGAGCGATAACAAGGTTTGGTGAAACAGAGTAATATGACACAAGAGCCACATGATATAAAGTGATAACAAGATTTAGTGAAACAGAGAAGTATCACACAGGAACAACATGATATAGAGTGATATCAAGGTTTAGTAAAACAGAAACAGAGTAATATTACACAGAAACTGTTTCACTAAACCTTGTTATCGCTCTGTATCATGTTGTTCCTGGGTCATATTACTCTGTTTATATTTCATTAAACCTTGTTATCGCTCTGTATCATGTTGTTCCTGTGCCATATTACTCTGTTTCTGTTTCACTAAACCTTGTTATCGCTCTGTATCATGTTGTTCCTGTGCCATATTACTCTGTTTCTGTTTCACTAAACCTTGTTATAGCTCTGTATCATGTTGAAACAGATTAATATTACACAGGAACAACAGGATACAGTGTGATAACAAGGTTTAGTGAAACAGAAACAGAGTAATATGACACAAGAACAACATGATACAGAGCGATAGCAAGGTTTAATGAAATAGAAACAGGGTAGTATTACACAGGAACAACATGATAAAGAGCGATAACAAGGTTTAATGAAACGGAAACAGAGTAACATTACACAGGAACAACAGGATGCAGAGCGATAACAAGGTTTAATGAAACAGAAGCAGAGTAATATGGCACAGGAACAACATAATACAGAGCGATAACAAGGTTTAGTGAAACAGAAACAGAGTAATATGGCACAGGAACAACATAATACAGAGCGATAACAAGGTTTAGTGAAACAGAAACAGAGTAATATTACACAGGAACAACAAGATACAGAGCGAGAACAAGGTTTAGTGAAACAGAAACAGAGTAATATTACACAGGAACAACAGGATACAGAGCGAGAACAAGGTTTAGTGAAACAGAAACAGAGTAGAATTACACAGGAACAACATAATATAGTGATAACAAGGTTTAGTGAAACAGAGAAGTATCACACAGGAACAAAATGATACAGAAAATTAAAACACTCGAAGGATCAACGTTTCTAAGAACACAATTAAAAATTTCATTCTGAGACCGTCAACCGTCTCAAAGCACACACTCTACATGTTTCGAACGTCCAATCACGTCATCCTCCAGAGTTTAAAATCAAAATCAGCGCAAACCATATGTATACAAAAAGCCATTGGTCACGTGACTACTTAATTTACAGACTGAGATTAAATAAGATTGTTCCATCTACATGCTTCATCCTTAGTTAAGATATGATAATCAGTTTTAGTGTGTTTTATTATTACTATTGATTTTTTGATATTTCTAGGCGTCATATCATTCGGCTGAGACAAAGTAAGTTTTTTGTTCTTTCCATTGAATGACATGACCTATGACTTGCATATTCAGCTGGTACGAAATTATCACTTTTAGATTTAACATTTCTCTTATATTTATTTATTCTAAATTTTTCGTTTCACCAGTATACACACAGCCACTTCACATTGAAATTTGAAAATATCTATTTTCTCAGTTACATTAATTTCCTCTTCAGTTTTATTCAAAGGTCTATAAATGTGAATAAGATATTTTTTTACAAAAATTTGACGTGACAAATGTGAGACACGTGGTTGAAAAAACATTTCCGTTTTGTCTATTTTAACAAATGTTGATTTTAGCTTCCTCTTTTAATCATCATTTGTGGTTTTACTATATTTCCTCACGGCTTTATCAGCAATACTAGATGAAAAACATCTATTTCTATACATTTAATTGATAATAGTTCATTTTTAAATCTTCTGGTTTAGAACATAACTTTAAGAGACCTGTAGATATAAAAATAAAAAAAAGCTGACATTCTTTGTGACTTGGCATGACATAATTCTTGGTGTGGCGACATGATAACTGAAAAATGTTTATGATAAACAGTGGTTTCTAACTTATCTATATCTTTATAAACTAATACGTCAAGAAACTGTAAAATAGTATTTTCTATAACTTCATAACTAAATTTAATAGTGGGTTCTAAACTATTCAACTAATTGGCAAAATCTATCTAGTTTTCTTCACCATGCTGCCATACCACGAAAGTGTCGCCCCCCAATGGGCCAGCGGTAAGTCTGAAGGCTTATAACGCTAAAAACCGGGTTTCAGTACACAGGTAACCCATTGTGTAGCTTTGTGCTTAACTACAAATAAACAAATTAAAGTGTAATTGACATATCTAATCCATATTTCAGGTTTAAGTTTAGCATTCAATAGAGCATCACTCTCAGATCTATCCACGAAAAGATCACACAACGAGAGAGACCCATGGCTGTCCTTCAGTATGTTTATAGAATTTATATATATAAAATATAGATGCTATTATTAAATTTAAAAACATTAATTTTCCACCCAGGCTTTTTTATTTATTTATCATATCCAAAATTTCAATGACTGACGCGTTATTCATTCGTGAGTTGTCTTAAAATAAATTCCAAACAAACTAAACCAAATGGTATTTTAAATAAAATAATACCCCAGTTGTATCCAGGCAGGATTCTCTTACAGGTAGCAACATCAGCAAAATTCTTAGGGATTACATTTGACTCAAAATTAAACTCGATACCACACATTAATAGCATAAAAACCAGAATTTGGAAGAAAGCGAGTTACTTTAGGACTCTGAAGGGCAACAACCAAAGAGCCTCGCCAGAAAACCTATAAAAAATGTACAGAACATATAGAAGACCAGTCGTAGAATATGCCTGTATAACATGAATCAATGTATCGAAAACATACACTGA